AATCTTAGACATACAAAGTAGAACTTTAAATATCTTAAAAACGCGCAGTTAATTCCACAATTCTTTGACATGCGCAGTAGATCTTTAAAATTTGTAAACTTGCGCAATAGATCTCTATGTGTCTTGGACATTTTCAGAAGATCTCTTTAAGTTGCAATAAATTTTTTTTTTATTTCTAAACATGCGATGTGGATCTTTACAAGTTGTAAGCATGAGCAATAAATCTCTAAATATTTTAAATATGCGCAGTAGATCTAAAAATGTTTTAGAAATGCGTAGTAGATTTCCAAAAGTCTTAAGCGCAATATATCTTTACTTTCTTTACACCTGCGTAATGGATCTCTTCTCTACGTATTGTAAACATGCGCAGTAGATCTCTACTTGCTTCTAATATACTTAGTTAATCTCTACTAGTCTTATGTTAGCTGTAAGTAGTTCTTCACAAGTCTTAAATCTGCGCAATAGATCTTAAGACATGTGCACTAAATTTTTGCGTACCTCAAATGCGCAGAGTAATTCTATGCTATCCATAGATATGCGCAATAGATCCCTATGTGCTGTAGGTGTCCTAACTTCTTAGACATGCGCAGTAGATCACTATATGTTTTATACATGCTTAATAGATTTTTAAAAGTTATAGACATGCGCAATAGATCTCTACGTGTTTGAAACATGCACAGTAGATCTTTACACGTTGTAGATATGCGCAATAGATCTCTACGTGTTTAGATATATGCGCAGTAGGTCTCTTCAAGTTGTAGATTTGCGCAATAGACTTCAGCATGTTCTGGACATGCATAGTAGAACTTTTTAAGTTTAAAACATGCGCAATAGATCTCTTCGTATTTTATACAAGTAATACAATTATATTGTAATTAAATACAATTTCCCATAATAATTAAAAAAAAAACACTTCGCCGTTGTGACAAAATTGATTATTTTATCCATTTTTGAATGTTCTACATGTAATTAAAGCCTGAAATGGAGAATCAGGTATATTATTCAAATTCAGCGTAGATTGTTATCTCGAGATGTAATTCTAGTGTGAACATGTATTTCCGTCCTGTTGTCCAAGCAACACTTAATTTCTTCAGGTATACATATACTTAAACACACTCTACGGGATTTCTGGATGTAATACCTTGCGACCTTCTCCCACAGATATACAAACGTTTACAGTTAATTTGCAAAACAAGAGAACTAATTAGAAAAAAATAATTTTAAATAGTAAATAATTAATAATAAATAAAAATAATATGATTTCCTCTATTTCTTCGTGAATTTCAATTCTGTTTTCTCCACATTGTTTTAAATGCGTGCGTTTATATCATCTGAAAAAATTGGCATAAGTATTTTGGTATTTCTTAAGCTTTTGAGAAACCTCTTTCAGAATCAAGAATATACTCACGATTCAAATATAAAATTGATGATTTCAGAAGAGGAATTTTTCTCTCAAACGAAGAATATGTATATATTTTTTAAAATTAAAGTGAAGTTTCTCACGAAGACTTTTAATCAAAAGGGAAATTCGCGTTATACATCCGTATTTGGACCTAATTCTCTACCCTCTCTTTCCGTTCCTCTTTTCCTTATTCAGTGAAGAAGATTTCTTTCCTATACTATATATATTCTCTACCGTGATCTTTGGCTTGTAATTACGAGTAATTTAATCGTATCTATGGGCAATGGAGAGTGAATGGAGACCTGTATATTTCTTCAATGAGCGCACGTATATGTATGTATATATATAGTATACGTATATGTATAGCTTCCCATTGAAAGCGATTTTCAACATTCGCAACAAGTGCGTGAAAGAAATCCAAGACCAAAGATGGAATGAGAAAGGAAACTGAGGAATGTCCGTCGTTAATAAATAGATGATAGACACGACATATAATGTCTTACGTGGAAAATGGGGGAGAGAATGAAGGAAAGAAAGAAAAATTACGTCTCTCATTGCGTCCTTGACTCATCTCAAATCTCTCACAATAAATATGTGAGGAAAACAAAACTCGTTGGGACTTTTAATTGTTCGCGTGGAATTTAATGACAATTTAAAAGAAAATAAAAGGGTTGTATGCGTTTTACAATGATGATGAGAGAAAAGAGAATCTTTGTGAGCTATATTATATAGCTTCTATTTTTGTGATGAATTTGATTCTAACTTACATTTTGTATTGTTAAAATCTTTTTGATGAGCGCAGTAGATCTTAATTTTCAATAACATGCGCAGTAGATCTCTAGGGATTTTAAATACGCACATTAAATCTCCACAGGTTGTATATATATATATGTGACAGTCCCCGAGAGAAGGGACCTTAGCTCACCAAAACGAATTTCACAGGGCAAGCGTTTGAAGAAGAAGCAGAAACGCGGAACTCGAAGAGTGGGGCGGAACTTCTGAAAAGTTCCCCCACCACACTAACACAACGTTGTGTTTCTGCATACGTGAGCTTCATCTACTTCGTGTATCTTCGGGTCTCACGTACGCGAAGCTCACGTACGCGAGAGTATAGTTGTGTAAGTAAAGTAGTGGGGCTGATTTCTTGAGTGCCACAATCCGCCTCGAAATGCGCTTGACATACCCATCTTCAAAATGTTATTGTGTCAAAAGCAATTATCCTAATCAGTTTTTGACTTTTGCATGTGAAAAAGCAATTCAAAATCTATCATTTACCATATAAAACTCAATATTGACCTCTGGTGAGCTAAGGTCCCTTCTCTCGGGGACTGTCACATATATATAGACATGAACAAAATATCTCTAGGTGATTTATTTGTGCGAACTAGATCTTATTTCTTTATAGACATGCGCAATAGATCTCTATATGTTTTAAACATGCGCAGTAGATCTTCGAAAATAAAAATCATGCGCTATAGATCTCAAAATATTTTAGAAATGCGTAGTAGGATTCAAAAACCTTTATGCACAATAGGTCTTCACTTATTTTACAGATGCGGAATAGATCTCTCCATGTGTTAGACATGCGCAATAGATCATCACTTTCTTCGAAGACACAACGTCGATCTCTACTAGTATTATCAATATATATATATATATATAGTAAATCTTTACGTTTTTAACAGATACAAAGTGAGATCTATAAAAATCCTCAACATGCGCAATAGATCTTCACTTATTTTAAGACATGCGCAGTAGATTTTTACCTGCCACAAATATGTGCAGTATTTTTCTGCGCATCATAGACATACGCAATAGATCCTTGTGTTTTAAATATGACCAGTAGGTACGTACCTTAAATATGCAGTAGATCTCCTTAATTCTTAGATATGCGCAATAGATCTCTATGGGTTTTATACATGCGCAATAGATCTCCAAGTACTTTAGACATGCGCAGTAGATCTTTACAAGTTGTAGATATGCGCAATAGATCTCTACGTACTTTGGACATGCGCAGTAGATCTTTACAAGTTGTAGATATGCGCAATAGATCTCTACGTACTTTGGACATGCGCAGTAGATCTCTATGGGTTTTATACATGCGCAATAGATCTCCAAGTGCTTTAGACATGCGCAGTAGATCTTTACAAGTTGCAGATATGCGCAATAGATCTCTACGCACTTTGGACATGCGCAGTAGATCTCTACGTGCTTTTCTATGTTATTTTCGTTTTTAAATTATGTTTTTGACATCTGCCTGTAATTTTTGAGGTTAATTTCGTCATTTACCTATGTTTTTGAAATATGACATTGATTTTTGAGGTTACTATCGTTTTAACCTATATTTTAAACATTTAGCTTGGAGTTTTGAGGTTATGTTCATTTTAACCTATGTTTTTGACATAGTACATCTAATAAAATTAGCGTCGGCGAAATCTTTTTATAATATTTATATTGTATATATATGGAGACAAGGAAATTAGTGCGGGAGTAGGACGGAGTATCAAAACCGGTAAGAAATCGTGACGTGATATCAGAGAGAAAGGAGGATCCAAGTCAGAAGACCTTTAAGAGCTTTATATATATATAAGAGAAAAGGTATTCCATGTACATAACAACATGAACCCTCTTCTTCCTAACCCATCATCCTAACTCAGGAACCTCACATCGCAAACCCATCAAAGCCTACTTTGCATCATCAAGATCTAACTGAATCGTTCAATTTCTCTTCCAACATTTCTCCTTTTGATATTTAACTTTTGTAATATCGCAAAGATATTGTTCAATTTTCATGGAATACACTTATATTTTATTTTCTAGATCAATTCGTTTCGATAAAGTTATATATATATATAGAATGTAATAATAATGTCTTTTGCTGCAATTTTTGCCTAACAAAAATATTTAACAATTGATATAATTGAACTCGTATTGTATTTTCAACAATAATATCAGTCAACTATTATCTTTGTTAACCTATATACATTTTTTTTTGTTTGGAATGTTCGACAAATTAAAATATAGCTTCATATTTAATAAAATAATGATAATAATAAAAATAAAATTCTTGTTAATCAAATCCCTCTGCAAGCGGTCTAAGGCGCTGGTTTGAGACGAGAACTTGTTTTTTCAACGTGGTGTGAACGTTGACTTTGATATTTTTTTTTATTACATCTTATAAATGTTGTTTGTAAAAGAGAGTTACATAAGCTTTTAGTTTTAATAAAAAATATTAAAATTTGTTTTACATATAAAGAAAATTTTGTAAAAGGAATTAGTTTTTTTTTTGTTTGATAATTTTTATTATTAATTTAATAAAATTTTCTTATATTTAACATTTAAATGTATATCAAGGACAAGACCTTGCTTATACAATACATGTGTAATAGTTTAGTAATATTGATCATATAAAAATATAGCCTAAGGAAATATGGATCTAGTTTGCTTGCCCAATTTTCCAACATTTCACATTTCACATTACATACACCTTCGAAAATAATCAACTACCTTTTTCCCCCACTTTCTTTTTTTTTTTTGTATGCAACAAACACAGTTGCTGCCTATAAAAACCGAAAACAAAATCTTAGACAACATCAATTGCATTCAGCAACTCTTCTAATCAATATATCATCATGGCATTCAAGGTATGAGTTTTAAAAAAATTAATTTATTTAAAAATTTTATAAAAATATTTATATATAGTACCTAAATTTGAAGAGATTCTATAGAAATTTTTTTTTTTTTTATATATATTATTATAATATTAATAATACATTTATTTTTTATATTATACTGAACTTATTTCAAGAGGGACAACTAAATAAACCCATGTAAAATATATTGTTACAAGTTTTAAAAATATTATTTAAAAATAATTTATGTAAAAAAATTGTATTTAATTTTTTATTGAAGAATCATTTTTTTTTTATTTTAAAGAATTCTATTATTATATATATAATTAAATCGTCAATTTTGAAAAGGGCTCAACTCGAAAAAGCGTAAGTGTCATTTTCGCATAACAATTCGATAGTGAAAATGACTTATCGATTTCAGAGTTGAGCCCTTTTCCAAAATTCACGATTCACAATTATTTTTATAACGAATTTTCATTTTTCGAATTAGCATTTGCCCAAAAATTGATTTCAAAACGAATTTTTATTTTACAGAATTTTTAGATATACCAAATCTTCATTTGGTAGAATTTTTATTTTACAGAATTTCTCTTTACCCAAGTTTTTATTTAAAATTCGCGCCGAAATCATTTTGTTGATTCGATATATATTCGACGACATTTTCAATTTCGGACAAATGTAGATTTTAAAAATTAATATCAAATAAAAATTCGTGCAAATAAAAATTGGTACAAATAAACATTCAGAGAATTAGAAATTTTTACATTTAACCCTTAATTGGTACCGAGGGTCCAGTAGACCCGAGCATTTTTTCTCGTTCAAATTTATTGAATGTATTTGAATATTTTTTCTATTTTAAAATATTAGTTTGACATATTAGTAATTTTCTAAGTTTTTTGGTACAACTAATTTGATACAAAAGAATAAATTAGCTTCAAACATTAATTATTTATAAATTTTTAATTTTAATCTAAAAAGTCGCATTTTATTCTGCAAAATAAATACCTTTTTTGCAAGTCCTGCTGTTGTGGTAATTTTTTTCCTTAAAGAATAATAAATCAAGAGTATAACCTTAAATTTTTAAGTCAGAATATTAGAATTTAAATAACTCACATAAATTTTTAAGTAAAAATACGCAATTTTTCGTTTTTATTTTTCAAAATTTTTTTTAACTAACTTAAAATAAATGAATCCCTTTAAAACTAATGAAATTTGAAAAAACACATCATAAGCTACATCGGATTAAATTTTTGTGCAAAAATATTCAATACCGCGGCTGTACAATACGCACGTTTAAATACTTTGGGTCCAGCAGACCCGTTGTGCCATTTACGTTCGAACGTGGAATTTAAGGTTTAAAATACACGACACTTATTTTCGAATTCACAAAAAAATTATTATCTAATTGACAAGAAAATTTTAAATTACAGTTCATTGTTCTCGCCGCATTTGTGGCCGCAGCAAACGCTGGATTAATTGGTGCTGGACATTATTCATCATTGGCTGTTCCAGTACCATTGGCATACGCTAGTGCTCCAATTGCAAAACAAGCAGTGTTGACAAAAACTGTGGCCACTGAATATGATCCTCATCCTGAGTTCAATTATTCTTATGATGTTCAAGAATCATTGATCAAGGAACCAGCAACACTTGCCGTGAAACATGTTGAGGCTGCTCCAATTGTTTATTCAGCACCATCAGTTGTTCAACCAATTGTAAAAGCCGCTGTTGTCAAAACTGTTGTTCCAGCTGAAACAACAATCTCAAAATATTCAACTGGATTCACACATCACGCTCCAGTAGTTCACACAGTTGCTCAACCAATTGTTCACACTGTTGCTCAACAAGTTGTTCAACCAATTGTTAAATCAGCTGTTGTCAAGACTGTTGTTCCAGCTGAAACTACCATTTCAAAATACTCCACTGGTTTCACTCATCATGCTCCAGTATACTCTCATGTATCCGCTCCAGTTGTTGCTGCGTGGTGAATAATGTAAACAAAAAAAAATGTTACAATGACTTTTTCCTAATAAATATCTTCTTCATTATGATATTAATTTTGCAATCATAAACCCTGAAATTTCCATTTCCACTTTTATTTCCACTTCCACATTAAACAATTTCCCTTCCCAAATTTCAATATTTCTAATTTCCACTCTCATTTCCACTTGTTTCAATTTCCATTCCTCCCTTAAATTCTTCTTTCATTTTTTCCAATTTCAATTCCCACTTTAACTTTTTTTAATTTTAACTCTCATTTTCATTTCTACTTTTTCTAATTTCTACACCAATTTCCACATCCAATTTTCAAAAGTTCAGTGTTTTACTTCTATTTACACTTTTTCTAATTTCCTGTTCCTTTTTCATTTTCATTCCTACTTCTATACTTTATTAATTTCTATTCTTCCCTTCATATCTTTCAATTTTTCTAATTTCAATTCCCATTTCCACTTTTCCTAATTTCTACTACCATTTCCATTTATTATTTCTAATTTCCACTCCCATTTCCACTTATTTTCATTTTCAGTTTTTATAATTTCCCCTCTCATTATCATTTTTTCCAATTTCCATTACTCTTTTCAATTCTCTTTTCAATTTTTCCAATTTCAATTCCCATTTCCACTTTTCCTAATTTCTACTACCATTTCCATTTATTATTTCTAATTTCCACTTATTTCCATTTTCAGTTTTTATAATTTCCGCTCTCATTTCCATTTTTTCGAATTTCCATTACTCTCTTCAATTCTTCTTTCAATTTTTCCAATTTCAATTCCCATTTCAACTTTATTTAATTTCTACTCCCATTTACGTTTCAACTTTTTATAATTTCTACACCAATTTCCACTTCCAATTTTCCAAAGTCCAGTTTTACTTCCATTTTCACTTTTTTTAATTTCCTGTCCCACTTTCATTTCCAATCCTAGTTCCACTTTTTCAATTTTCATTCCACATTTCAATTCTCCTTTCATATTTTCCAATTTCCATTCCACCTTTCAATTCTTCTTTCATGTTTTCCAATTTCAATTCCAGTTTCAAGTGAATTTGATGTATTTTTCAAAAAGTCGTCCGCCATATTGGATCCGCCATTTTGAATTTTTAAGAACTGACACCGTATTCGTAATCATTATTTTGAGTTTTGTCATATACATTTTTTGTTCAGGAGGTCAAAAGCTACAAAAGTACCAAGTTACAAAAAAAAATTTGCTGAGAGTCAATTCTAATACAAAAAGTGCGGGGTTCTTTCCATTACGGTTTTTAATTTAACTTCCAATTTTCCATTTCCACTTCTACTTTATCAATTTTTCATTTATCCCTTTAATTCTTCTTTCAATTTTTACAAATTTCATTCCCTTATCCACCTGTTTTTCATTTCTGTACTTATTTCCATTTCTAATTTTGCCAGTAGCTATAGTTTTGCTACCATTTCCACTTCTTCTAATTTCCTATTCCACTTACTCTTTTTCCAATTTCCATTTCTACTTCCATTATCACTTTCACCTTTTTGTAATTTACACAGAATTTTAAAATTAACCAATCAGAAATTATGAAGAAAATTTGTGGAAGTGGAAATTGGAAAATGTGGTAGTGATAATGGAAATTGGTAGAAGTGGAAATTATAAAAAGTGAAAATGGAAATGGAAGTTTGAATAGAAATTGGAAAAGTGGATGTGGAAATTAGAAGAAGTAGAAATGGAAATTGAAAAAGTGGAAGTGGAAATTATAAAAAGTAGAAATGGAAATAGAAATGGGAATGGAAATTTGAAAAAAGGAAATGGAAATGGGAGTAGAAATTAAGAAAAATTTGAAATGGGAATTCGAATTAGAAAAAATGAAAGAAGAATTTAAAAGAGGAATAAAAATTGAAAAAGTGGAAGTAGGAATAAAACAGGGGGTCGATTATGTAAATCCATTTTGACTTCTATTTCCACTTTTATAAATGTCCATTACACTTCCTCTTTTTCTAATTTGCACTCCCATTTTTATTTCCATTTCCACTTCCATTTCAATTTTTTGTAATTAATACTTTCATTTTCATTTACACCTTTTCTAATTCCGATTCTCACTTTCATTCATATTTCCACTTCTTCTTTTATAATTTCCATTTTAACTTTTTCTAATTTCCTATCTACTGCCATTTTCACTTTTTTCAATTTCCATTTCTACTTTTATTCCCACTTCCATTTTCAACTTTTACAATTTCCATTCCCATTTACATTTTTACTTTTGTGAATTTCATTACCACTTTTTCTAATTTTCACCTTTGTCAATTTCCATTTTCACTTTTATTCCCTATTCCATTTTCCACTTCCATTTTTTCTAATTTTCAGTCTCACTTCCATTTAAACTATTTATAATTTTTTCTCCACTTCCATTTACACATTTTTCAATTTCCATTTCCACTTTTGTTCGCAAATCAATTTCCATTTTCACTTTTTACAACTTCCATTCACAATTCCAGTTTTTATAATTTCCACTTTTTCTAATTTTCAGTCTCACTTCCATTTAAAACTATTTATAATTTTTTCTCCACTTCCATTTCCACATTTTTTAATTTCCATTTCCACTTTTGTTCGCAAATCAATTTCCATTTTCACTTTTTTCAACTTCCATTCACAATTCCAGTTTTTATAATTTCCACTTTTTCTAATTTCCTTTTATAGTTATATTTCAACCTTTTTCAATTTCTATTCCAAATTCCACTTTCACTTTTATAATTTCGATTCTCACTTTTTCTCAATTTCCTCACTCACTTCCATTTCCAACCTTTACCAATTTCCATTCAAAATTACATTTTTTTATAATTTCGACTTTCTAATTTCCATTCCCACTTTCTCTTCCTCATCAACTTTTATAATTAACATTCTTAGTCTTTTAATTTTCTTTCCACTTCCATTTCCACCTTAATTTTTTCCAATTTCCACTCGAATTTTAACATTAAACAATCAAAAATTATCAAGAAAATTGTAGAAGTGGAAATTGGAAAATATGGAAATTGAATTGGAAATGAGAAAAAGTGGAAGTGGGAATGGAAATGGGAAAGAGTAGTAATGGAATTAGGATTGAATATTATTATTATTTTCTTGTTATTTTCTTATTATTTAATTTTAAAATTCGAGTGGAAATTGAAAAAGTGGAAGTAAAAATGAAAGTGGAAGAGGAGATTAGAAAAAATGTGAATAGAATTTATAAGTGGATTTGTGAATAAAAGTGGAATGGATATTGGTAAAGTTGTAAGTGAAAATTGGTTAAACTGTAAGTGGAAATAAAAGTTTGAATGGATTTACATAAATGACCCCTTAGTAAATTCTAGAAATTTCCCCTTGATATTGCATTAAAGTGGAAATAGAAATTGGAAAAGGTTGAAATCGAAGTCAGAGAGGATGTTAGAAAAAGTGGAAATGAAAATGGAAGTTGGAAAAAGTGAAAATTGTAATTGGAATGAAAATTGGAAAAAGTGGAAGTGGAAATGGAAATTAGAAAAAAATGAAAATTGTAGTCGAAATGAAAATTGGAAAAAGTGGAAATGGAAATTGGAAAATTTGAAAGTGGAAATAAGATAGAAAATTGGAAAAGTGGTAATGGGTTAAATTGGAAGTGAAAATTGTAGTCGAAAAGAAAATTGGAAAAAGATGAAGTGGAAATGGAAATTGGAAAATGTGAAAATGGAAATGGGATTGAAAATTGGAAAAATTGGAAATGGAAATAGGTTAAATTGGAAGTGAAAACTGTAGTCGCAATGAAAATTGGAAAATGTGAAAATGGAAATGGGATTGAAAATTGGAAAAATTGGAAATAGGTTAAATTGGAAGTGAAAACTGTAGTCACAATGAAAATTGAAAAAAGTGGAAATGGAAATTGGAAAATGTGAAAGTGGAAATGGGATTGAAAATTGGAAAAAAGTGGAAATGGAAATAGGTTAAATTGGAAGTGGAAATTAAAGTTCGATTGGATTTACATAATCGACCCCCAGGACATTAGAAAAATTAGAAATGGAAATTGGTGCAGAAATTAAAAAAAGTGGATGTGGGAATGAAAATTGTAAAAATTCAAAGAAGAATTAAAGGGAGGAATGTAAAAATGAAAATGGAAATGGGAGTGAAAAATGGGTAAAGAAGAAATGAAAGTTTAAATTGAGATTAGAAAAAGTGAAAGTGGAAATTGGAAAAACTACAAATGGAAGTGTTAATGGAAAGTGGAAAAAGTAGAAGTGGAATTTGGAAAAAGTAGAAGTGGAAATAGATATTAAAATTTTTACTAAATTTTCCACCATACTAATTGTAAGAAAAAACTACAACTCTTTTTACACATTTGAGCGAATGTTAATATTTAACAACAATAATTTGTTTGAATAATTCTCAGAATAATAATTTTTATTATTTTATTATTAACCGTTGAACAAAAAAAAAAAAAAATTGTCCATTTTTTATACCAAAATAATAATTTCTTTCACTAGATTAAATGTTTAATTAATTTTTTTTTTTTGTTTAAACAAATTCATTATTTAGACACATTTAGTTAAATTTTTTTCTGTAAGAATAATTATAATTGAAAAAGAGAAAATCAGAATAATGGAGAATTGATAAAAGAAAATTGGAAATTGAAAGTAAAAATTTGTTTAGGTATACATTTATTGAAAAAAAAGTAAGGAAGGAAAAAAATTTATTTTCAAATACAAGATTAAAAAAATTTTTTTTAGTCAAATTTATTTCTTATGTTACGTGAACACATAGAGGATTTACATATCAATGTCATCGCAATGACGTCTTGAAACTCTGCAAATCCACGACAGGCCAAGATTACGTTTTAAACTTGTAAAGAAGTCATCATTTAGTTTTGCTTTCACTCCAATTTTATCAATCATTGGTTGAACCAAACGTAAAATAAATTGCTAAAATATTAATATAACATATTAAATTCATAATATAATTTATTAATTTTATAAATATTAAATTAATTAATTTTAAAAATATTTAATTTTATGATTATTAAATTAATTGTTTTTAAAATTGTTAAAACAACTAATTTTATAATAATTAAGTTGCTTAATTGTATAATTATTTAAATATTTAATTTTATTAAATTTTTCACAATATCATTTATTTTAGTTGAAAAAATTTAACCTTATTTTCGGCAGTTTTTCCTGATCGAGATCGTAAAATATAGAAAAATATTGATTCAGCTCTTTTCCAAGGAATATAGTCATCCTCCTGAATTAAATAGGCTGTCAAATCGAGCATTAACTTTTTTTCAAGTTTATTGTTTATAACAAAAAAATAGACATCATCCAAAAGTTTTGCTCGATTTAAGACGTGAATATTTTTAAAGTCCGGCGAATTCATGTATTTTATTATTCGATTCCAATTTTTTGTATCATAATTCACTCGATAGAAACCTGAAAGAATTATTTTTTTTAGTAGTCAGAATTAGCGATAATTTTTTAAAAGAAGCTTTTTGATGTGATGTTTGAAAAATTACTCGTTCTAATTATTGCGCGCCTTAGCATGTTAAGAGTAAAAGGGAAAAAGCTCGATAAGCGCGTCTCCCACTTTTTACGTGGTGCGCGCGCAGCACACAAGGAGTGGGGAGAGAGTCAAGGACGCTTTGCATCCAATCACCGAGACCGAGTAGTGGGAGAGTAACCAATGACTGTACTCTCTCCCTCTCCATTATTAAAATGCTGCGCTGTAGTTTAAAGTATACTAAATTAATTACTATTATTATTATTTTAATAATATAATTCTTTATGTAATACTACTAGTATAATACTAATTATTACTGAAATAATTAAATTATTTATAATAATAATTGAATATTTAAATAAATTAATATAATAATTAAATTATTTATAAATAATTTTGAACATTTTTCGATTTATTAAAAAAAAAAACTAAAAAGCAATTACCAACGCATTCTTTATTGATAATGTACCAATCGTGTGGATCCACTCCGTCAATAATTAATTCTTTCTGCTTTGGTTCCATCCAATAGGTGGCAGCACTTGACGAGAAATTTGGATTGGACATTGTTGCAAAATTAATTGGAACCCACCATTTTTTGTGCACTACATTGCAATCGAAATATTTACAATCTATTCTGTCGGATGTTTGTGTCAATTTTATTATTCCACTTTCATAATTTCTCGTAACATTAATTATTGGATAACCAACTTGTGATATATATCCATCTAGATGCAATTTTATGTCAAAATTATTGAATGGCATTTTGGATTCATCCATTGCTTCTTGCATTGTACTCCAAAAATTGTTGGTTGTTATTGTTTTATATTTACTGAAATTGAAATTTTATATTTATTATTATTAAATTTTTTTGCCATTTATTAGAAATTTTTAGTATAATTATTTGAATTTTTTTTATAAAGTATTATTACTTTATTATAAAATTATAATTATAAAATGTTTATTTAATAAGTAAATAATTTTTTTATGCTAGTCAATGAGAACATAATGAGGAAGGAGTGGGGGGAAACGCGCGGTGATTGGTAAATGCACTCGAGGAGTGGGGAGTGACGCGTTGTGATTGGTGAATAAACTCGAGGAGTGGGGAGTGACGCGTGGGGATTGGTAAATGTACTTGTAGAAGGGGGAAAAACGAATTTACTATAGCTACACAAAACATATTTTCTCAAAAATATGAATAAAAAATTATTTTTACAATTACAATAAAAAATTCTTAGTCTTACTATTTTTGCAGCATCTTCTTAATTCCTAAATGAAAGACTTCTTCTGACACTAAACCACTTATCATGTGCATTACTGTCGCGGCTATAAAATTTAATGTAAAATCACATTGCTAATTAAATAATAATTCATAACAATATTTATTTATTATTATTATATTTTTATAATTCACTTAGTGTTATAATTATTTTTATTATATATTACTATTATTATTATTATTGTTATTTATAATTTAAAATTTTATAAAAAAACAAATAATTAATTAATAATAATTGAATTAAACATTTTAATTAACCACAATAATTAGAATCGTAAAATTAAAAATTAATTTTTGTTCACAAACCTTTATCGTGAACTGTTGACAAATGTATTATTGTTTCCCTTGAATTATTAATATCTCGATAGATGGCTTCAGTTGCCTGGTGATTTTCCGTGGAGAAAACTTTTAAAAAATTATTTTCCACTACAAAATAATCCATAATCCTCGGGTAATTCATCACCTTTTTTTTAAAAAAAAAAACAAAAAGAATATTATCAAGCTGCAATGAAATAGTTAATAAACCAAACAATAAGATAAATTAATTAATTGTAATTTAGGTTTTTTTTTAAGTTTTATGTGATAGTAAAATTATTATTATTATTATTATTATTATTATTATTATTATTATATTATTGTTATCTTATTGTTATCATTTATTTTTATTATATATTTAAATTTATTTATCGCTAAAACACCTTGGAGAGGATAAAATAGTGCATATAGGTAGCAAGTCCCTCGGTTATCCAAACATCTTCCCACCAAGCTGGCGTTACCAAATTTCCAAACCACTGATGTGCAATTTCATGAACCATTATTGTGGATGTGGTAAATTTTTCCAGATCAGTCGACTGATTATAAGTTAGAAGGTGATGTTCCCTGAAAATATTTTTTTTTTTTTTTTGTAAAAGATTATTTCCTATAATAAAATTTTTTTTTATTATATTTTCAACATTTTTGAATTTTTTAAAATATTTTTTCGTAAAACCAATGTTGTCCAACGTTTATCTTTTATATTTTTAAAAAAATTCTTCGTAATGAAAACAAAAAGAAATCAAATTGTCAAAATGAGAGAAAAATTTCCATTTTGGAAAGAAAGGATTCTATAAATTAAAATTCTTGCTTTCTGTGTGTAGGTCAAGTTTGAATTTTGATTTTATTTAAATTTTCATTTGGTTTTAAAACTTAAGTTTGTCATTATTGCTTTTATTAATTATAATTTTTTCCAAAAAACATTTTCTTTGAGAATGTAAGGAAAATATTTTTGCCTTGTGTGAGTAGATGGAATTTAAATTTTTTTTCATATTTTGAAACTAAGTACCATTTTGTTTTTATTAACGTAAACTATTTATTTTTAATATTGGCTGAATCTATTCTAAACCTTGATTTTAGGAGATTTACAAATCTCCTCTTTTAATGACTATAAATTAACATTCTTCCCTTCTGTGAGTAGGAAAAGTTTGAATTTTCTTTTCATTTGTTTAAACCATTCTTAATCTTGTTTCCAAGGGCTATGGCTTGTCATTATTATTTTTTTATCCGAATCTGTTCTTTTTTAGAATATGAAAAAAATTGTCCTTCTGTTAGTAGATAAAGTTTTAATTTTTTATTTCTATGCATGAAATCAATCATCTGATTTCCAAGGACTCGGACTGTGTCATTATTATTTTTATTGGATAAATCTATTATACACCTTGATTTTCGGGAAATGGAAATTAAAATTCTTGCTTTTTGTGAGTAGGTAGAGTTTGAATTTTAATTTCATTGTCTGTATTTATTATAAATATTATAAATATAAATTAATATCATTTCCTTCTGTGAGTAAGTGTAGTTTTAATTTTTGTTTCACTGTTTAACTTAATTTTCAATCTCCTCTCTTAGGGACTGTAAATTCTTTCTTTCTATGAGTAGGTGAAATTTTGTTTTATTAGTTGAATCTATTCTTTATTTTACCTTCAGAAACTATTTTTCATAAATATTGCTTTAACCAGTTAACTTAATAGCCTATTTTGTGTTTTTTGAGATAGAAAAAAAATCCTTGCCTTTTGTGAGTAGGTAGAATTTGAATCTCTAAATCCCTTAAAAAATCTTTTCTTTAGAGACTAAAAAACTCATTATTGCATTCATTGAGTGAATCAATTTTCCACTGTTAAATTTGAGGGCTTTTGAATTAAAATCATTGCCTTCTGTGAGTAGGTGGAGTTTAAATTTTTATTTCATTTTCTGAAGTCTATCGCCATTTTCTTTTCAAAGACTCCGATTATTTATTATTCTTATTATTATTATTATTATTTTACTGTCTGAATTTATTACACATCTTTATTTTCTAGGACTTAACATTAAAATCCTTGCTTTGTGTGAGTAGGGGGAGTTTGAATTTTGATTATTGAATCCATTTTTAATTTATTTTTTAGGGGCTATGGCTTGTCATTATTATTTTTCCCCGAAATTTATTTACTTTTTTATTTTTTGTTGGATATGAAAAAAATTCTTTCCTTCTATAAGTAGGTACAGTTTAAATTTTCTTTTCTAAATTGTTGAATTTAATTTTTATTTTGTCTATGAGAAAATAATTTAAAATTTTTGCCTATTGTGAGTAGGTGGATTTTGAATTTTTTTTTAAAGAGCTGAATCTAATTTTTATCTTATTGTATTATTATTATTACTATTTTATTATTATCTTATTTATCTTATCTTAAATTTTTGTCTTCTGTAAGTAGGTCACTAAAATTTACGATATTATTATTATTTAATTATTATTGAATAATATTCTTAAATATTAGTAATGATAAAATAAATTGGATAAAAAAAATTTTTAATTAAAAAAGAAATATTATTATTATTTACTAACATTACGATAATTAATCCCCAATTTTCCATTGCTCCAAATCGAAGTCCCGGTACACCAATAACGTCCATTTTTGGCAAATTATATTCAATTTCAGTATATTTTTCTAAAATTGGAAATGTCTTCATTCCAATTTCATAAGAATGTGATAAATACTTAAGTGTTTCTTTATGTGACCAAACAGAAAAATTTCCTTCGCTGTTGGAAATTTTTTCAAAATCTGAAATTGTAAATGACATTAAATATGTTGAAATTTCAGGTGTTGTTTCAAATATTGACCAAATTTTTCCATCAATTTTTGTTTCATCCACTTTTTCCTTGAGTGGCATATTTGATAGGGCCGTGTAATTTGGAAAATGTTTTATTGATAAATCAAAAGTTGCTTTTAATGCCGGCTCATCCCAACAGGGAAATGCCAATCGAGCAAATGTCGTTTCAAATTGCGTTGCCGCCAATAATCTAGAAATTAAAAAAAAAAAAAAAATTAAAAATTACATCTAGATAAATTTTTTTTACTTATTATAATTTTTATTATTATTATTATTATTATTATTATTATTATTATATTTATATTATTGATATTAGTGTCATTATTATTATTATTATAATAACAAAAAAAAATTTTAAATATATTTAAAATTATTTTTTTGTTTTCTTATTATTTTCTTATTAATTTTATATTATTAAATTGAAATTTTTTTTTATTAACTTACATTTGTTGATTATCATCAGTATAATAATAATCCTTAAAAAATCCCATTGGCATTGTATTTAATAAGCCTTTATATTTCAAATAAAGAAAATAAAGACCCGGTTCAATGTAATTGTGAAAATTGAGAATCAAAAATTCACCATCTTCTTTCAAAATATGTTGTTTTGGCTTAAAAACTTCATCACCAATTAATTTTGTACTTTCCTCATAATAAACAAGTTTTAATGAATTTAATGTTAAATTTTTTGTGGATTCAAAAATTTCGAGAAAAATTTTTGATTCACCCTCAAATGACAATTCTTTTGATGTCATGTGCGGTATTAATTGTATTTGATAACGATAAGGTTTTGTGTTATTTGGTAGCCGATAATAATTATTATTATTATTATTTTTATTTAATTGATAAGAAAAATTGATGAAAATTGACATTAAAATTAAATTGTAGTACCACATCCTAAATAAATTTATAATTATTAAATAAATGATTATTATTAATTAACTAAATAATTATAATATTTAAATAAATAATTATTAATTATAACTAAATATAATGATTAATTAACGAAATAATAAATAATTATAAATAAATAAATAATTAGACAAATAGAGATTAAGAATGTGAAAATTGGTAAATTAAAAAAACGTACCTTAATATGATTTTAAATATTTTACACTAAAAAAATATTGATTAGAAAAAATTTAATAACTGAATGTCAATTTGCGTATTGTGATATATTTAAATAGGAAAATTCATATCAAACGTTTCCTTTTCATTTTACAATCAATAGATTCTATTTTATTGTTGATAAAAAAATTAATGTGAAATATATAATTGTAGAAATATAATAGATTAAACATAAGGGAAGTGACGATAGGGAAATCATGTAACCAGTCAAAGGATGTGTTGAGATAGAGAAGTATAAAAATACCATTTATTAATAACATAAATCCATTGAATCTATATTAAAAAAGTAATTTACAAATGATTATAAAAATTAATTTTGAATACAGAATTTTATACAATGTTTGTACACATTTTGTGCAATTGAAATTTGTTTTATAATAATTATAGTTTAATATATAAAAAATAATAATTTAATATAATAATAATAATAATAATAATAATAATAATAATAATAATAATAATAATAATAATAATAATAATAATAATTTTTAATAATAAATTTTTTATAAAAAAAACTTTTAAAAATTTTTTTTAAAATATAAACATCCTCGAACAATTATCCTTACATTAGATATAGCAAATGGAAAAAAAAACTCAAAATCCTCCTACTCACAGAAAAAAAGTATTTAAAATTATAACCGAAAAAAAGAAGATAAAGAATAAAATCTAATAATGAAACTCGTAGTAAATACTTCTTACTCCTGAGGATCGATTATCTAAATCCACTTCCATTTCCACATCTATTTCCACTTCAACTTTTTTCAATTTGAATCCCCACTTCTACTATTTCCAATTTCCATTCCCATTTCCAATTTACCAAATTTACATTTTTTCTAATTTCCAATTCAACTACCCTTTAAACTTTTTATAATTTCCTCTTCCACTTCTATTTCCACTTCCACTTACACCAATTTTCAATACTATTTTATCTCTTTTTAATTTCCATTTACACTTCCACCTTTTCTAGTTTCGATTTTCACTTTCATTTCTATTTCTAATTTTCATTTTAAAGTTAATTCTCACTTTCATTTCCATTTTCACTTTTCTAATTTCCATTCCCCCTTTAATTTAACTTTTTGCAATTTAAATTCCCTGGGGGTCGATTATGTAATTCCATTTCCACTTCCATTTCCACTTCCATTTCCACTTCCATTTCCACTTCCATTTCCACTTCCATTTCCATCACCAAATCCATTTTCACTTTTTCTAATTTCCACTATCACTTCTATTTCCACTTTTTCTAATTTTCATAAACCACTTCCATTTCCACTTACACCTTTCTAATTTTCTTTTCCACATCCATTTACACTTCCACTTTTTCTAATTCAATCTTCTAAATGGATGTGAGAATGAAAATTTTAAAAAAAAGTGGAAATGGAAATGACAGTGGTAATGGAAATTAGAAAATGTAGAAATGGAAGTGGGAGTGGAAATGAAAGTGGGAATGAAACATATAAAAAGAGAAACATGAAATGTAAGTGGGAGTGAAAATGAGAAAAAGTAGAAATAGAAGAGGAAATGGAAGTGGGAATAAAAATTAGAAAAAGTAGAAGTGGAGATGAAAATGGGAATGAAAATTAGAAAAGATGGAAATGGAAGTGGGAGTGAACATTAGAAAAAGTTGAAATGAAATTGAGAATAATTGTGGAAATGGATGTGAGAATAAAAAGTGGATAAAAGTGGGAATGAAAAATGGAAAAAATGGAAGTAGGAATGAAAATTAGAAAAAGTGGAATTGGAAATAAAAATTAGAAAATTGGAAGTGGGAATAGAAATTAAAAAAGTGGAAATGGAAATGGAAAGCACAATGGAGAATGGAAGTGGGAATGAAAATTAGAAAAAGTGTATATGAAAATGGAAGTGGGAATAAAAATTGGAAAAAGTGGTAATTGAAGTGGAAATGTGAATGAAATTGAGAAACGGTGCGAATGGGAATGAAAATTGGAAAAAGAGGAAGAGGACATGGAAATGAGAATGAAAATTAGAAATAGTGGAATTGGAAATGGAAGTAGGAATGAAAATTAGAAAAAGTGGATGTGGAGATGGAAATGGAAGTGGGAATGGAATTACTTAATCGACCCCCTGGGGGTTGATTATGTAATTCCACTTCCATTCCCACTTTCACTTTTTTAATTTTCATTTCCACTTCCACTTTTTCTAATTTTCATTCCCACTTCTATTCCCATTTTTTCTAATTTTTATTCCTATTTTTCCATACATCTTCCAATTTTTATTCTCATTTTCACTTCCACTTTTTCTAATTTTCATTCCCACTTTTTCTTATTTTTACTCCCACTTCCAATCCCACTTTTTTTAATTTCCATTTCGACTTCCACTTTTTTCTAATTTCCATCCATTATAATTTACAAAAGTGGAAATGGATGTGTGAATAGAAATTAGAAAAAATATAAGTCGAAATGGGAGTGGGAATCAAAATTAGAATATTTGGGAAAATTTGAATAAAAGATAGAAAACATAGGAATAGAAGTGGGAATGAAAATTAGAAAAAAAGGAAATAAAAATGAAAGTGGAAGAGGGTAAATCGGGAAAGTTTAAAGTGGAAATGTCAATGGAAATTAAAAAAAGTGGGATTAGAAATTAGGAAAATTGGAGGTGGAAATGGAAATTAGGAAAAGTGGAAGTGGAAATTGAAAAAATATGAATGGAAATTATAAAAATGTAAATGAAAGTGGAGTTTAATTTTGGGAATGGAAATTAAAAAAGGTGGAAGTGAAAATGGAAGTGGAAATTAGATCAAGAGGTAGCGGGAATTGAAAATAAAGTGAGATTAAAAATTAAAAAAATTGGAAGTGGAAAAGGAAGTGGGAATGAAAATTGGAAAATATGAAAATGGAAGTAGGAGAAGAAATTAGAAAAAGTGTATATGTATGTGTAATTGGAAATCGGGAAAAATAAATATGGAAACGGAAGTGAAAATGGAAATTATGAAATTGTAAGTTGGAGTAAAAATTAGAAAAGTGGATGTAGAAATTAGAAAAAATCGAAATGGAAGTGACAGTGGAAATTTTAAAAAAATTGGAAGTAGAAATTAAATTAGCAATGGAAATTATTAAAAGTGAGAATGGAAATTAGAATAGTGCAAGGAGAAATAGAAGTGGAAGCGAAAATTGTAAAATTGGGAATAAAGATTGGAAAAGTGGAAGTGGAAATTAGAAAAGTTGAAGTGGAAATAAAACTGTGAATGGAAATTGAAAAAGGTGGAAGTAAAAATGGAAGTGGAAATTAAAAAAAGAGGAAGTAGGAATGGATGTTGGTAAAAGTGGAAATGGAAATTGAAGTGGGAGAGAAAATGAGAAAAAATCAAAATAGAAGTGGGAGTTAAAATTGGAAGAATTGGAAGTGATAATGGGAGTTGGAATGAAAATTGAAAAAATGTGGAATTGGAAGTGGAAATGGATTTACATAATCGATAACCTGAAAATAAGATTATTTCAAGGGATTTGTCTACTTAATATCATTTTTAGATAGCTACAAATAAAAATTTTTTCTTTCTGTGAGTAGGTGGAGTTTTAATTTTGTTTTTATTGATATTCTCAATCTTCTATTTTAGAAGCAGCAGTACTGCATTTATTTCTTATATTAAAAAATTGAAATTAAAATCAGAAAATTAAAATCAAAGAATGAAAGTAAAAAATTAAAAATTAAATTAAAATTAAATTCTACATTATCAACTTCGTTTTTATTTTTTCAAATGCAGAAAACGTAATTTGGTCTCAGAATTGAGTCTCAATAATGATTCCACTTGTTAACTGAAAGACACTGATGATAATGATAATGATGATAATGATAAGTTGAAGCCGAAAAAAATTGGAACATCTAAATCTCGAAAGATTTCAGAAAGCAAAATCGAAGAAAATTGCCGAGTGTTGACGTGTGCGTGTTTTTGTGTAAAATATGCCCCGAGAGGAAATAAAGTAGAGGCACATTTGTGTTTTGCGAAGTATCAGACGAAATTGCATATTTCGTTCGTTTCCTTTAGGGCCGAAAGTAGAGGGAAGGCGTTTGTTGCCACTTTGAATACATTTATATATTCTTATCTGCTATCTGCGCTAAAATTTTTCTGTTGATTACTTTTTCGGCCATTTGCAATTTCGGACAAATAAAAATTCGTCGTTTTAAGAATTCTGTACAATAAAAATTCTCCATTAAAGAGAAATTGTTATCAAATTCTAATTCGAAAAATGAAAATTCGTCTAAAAAATAATTATATCTAATAAATTAATTAATAAATCCATTTCCACTTTTTTCCAATTTTCATTATCACTTCCATTATTACTTCGAATTTTTTCAATTTCTACTCTCACTTCTATTTCGATTTTTTCTAATTTTCTCTCCCACTTCAATAATTTCCATTTTTACTTGTACCAACATCCATTCCTACTTCTTCTTATTCTAATTTTCCGTTCCCACTTCCACTTTTTCTAATTTTCATTCCCATTTCCACTTTTTCTGATTTCCATTTCCATTTCCACTTTTCTTAATTTTCATTCCCATTTCCATTTACACTTTTTCTAATTTTCATTTCCATTTCCACTTTTTCTAATTTTCATTTCCATTTACACTTTTTTTAATTTTCATTCCCATTTCCATTTACACTTCCATTTTTTCTAATTTTTATAGTGGAAATGGTAATGAAAATTAAAAAAAGTGGAAGTGGAAATGAAAGTGGGAATGAAAATTAGAAAAAGTTTAAATGGAAGTGGAAATGAAAATCAGGAAAAAGGAAGTGGAAAAGGGAATAAAATTTTTAAAAAAGTGGAAGTGGGAATGGAATTAAACAATCGATCCCCAGTTGTTCTTTAATTTTTTAAATATTTTAATGATAAAAAAATTAAAATTTTATTTGTATTCATGAAAATTTTTGATTGCCGCAATATCTTAAAAACGAAAAGAACTCTAGGACAAGAATTTTTTCTTTTAATAAAATTATGGGGTAAATGCACTAATTACGGTGCGATTCGAGTCAAAACACCTTTGAAATAGAAAATTCGACATTTCTATTGTATATAAAGTCAATTTAAG